CATTCATCTTTTTGGCCTCTGCTTCTCTAGTGTATCTCCTTAGCCTGGTAGCCAGTGCTGTGAACCTTTGTTTAGCAGTCTTTAGGACTTCAGATGGAGTCAGGCCCTTGTATTTTTTCAATAGCTGAGTCTTATCCTTAATCTCCACACCCTTCTGTAGTTCCATCAGCTGACTAACATCTCTCCAAGTTGCCTTGATCTTAGCCTCCAACCTCATTTTCCAAGGGAGGTATATATTGCTATTCTTCTTGGTTGTGTAGCCAAGCATCTCCAGGATTACAGCAGCTGTAGTGTATACCAGTTCTTGGTTTGAGTTATGGTGGTAGTATGGATTGTCATGAGGGCTCTATTGGCATCTTCTAGCATGCTATCTGATAGTACTTTTCCATTGAGCCTTGGTAATCAATCTCGAGGGTTGATTTTAGCTAGCTTATCCATGATCTTATGTCTCATATCAGCTGCTGTGCTTTGTAACAATGGGGGTGGCAGAGATGTTCCAGCCTCAGGTGTTGGCTGCACATCCAGTTGTCCTTCCAGGTCTTCTTGAGTCCAGTATGTAATGTGTAGTTGATCTATCTCAAATTGTGAGAGCAGCTTCCTCTTCATTATGTTGAAGCATTGGGTAACTAGCTGTTTCTCAGTTAGTATGGATGTAGGTCTTCTGTCTATCTGTAGTTCCCTCACATGTTTCATATATCCCCTCTCATTAGGTCTACTGTTGTAGTAGCATTCCACCAATTCCAGGAATACACACACACACACCCTCCTTGGAACACAGAATGACACTACTCCCTGTACACCCTTTCCAAATCCATCATATAGCATGGAGGTAGACAACCCATGGCCCCCAAACCCCATTTGTGGCCCCACTTCACTCCCAGATCACACCATCAATGTTTGTTGGCAAAATAGCCATGATAACCCAAATTATTTTAAGCAATAATAAATATTGGTAATGTTAAGTCTCTGCAAGGCACAATGTATTAAATACTTCCCTTACACTTCTCCTCCAATTAGAAGTGTTTTGACCATACCATTCTTTCAGATTCCTGTTATGAATGTACTATTGTTATGTTCTTCTTTAAAACCAAACTTCTATGTCCCTTATTTTGGTTCAATGGTTTCTAGAATTAAAATAGAATAAACTATCTCGTTTCAAATAGTGCTCACATTTTTCATTGTAGTGTTACTGTATCCTTATGAAGTGAACAGCTTTTTATTTTCCCAGACTTTAACTTTTTAAAATGTTTGTTTGTTTTTAGATTTTAGATCCTTAAATTGCTCTTGCCTTTTCCTATATGTTTATGGGGTGCTTCTACCTCCAGCCTTCATACGGTGATCACAAATATTGTCATTATCACCCTTTGGGGGTGATTCACTTTAAACCAGAAACCCCCAATCTCCCGTTGACTTTTCTGCCAGGCTTAGGCTGATTTTTGATGGGTGAGTCAAGGAGACAGAGGGTTCTGAGAAAGTTGTAATTTACCAAAAATTGAGCCTATCCATGTGATGCAGAGTTAACATTTTTCTTGCAATATGTGGGTTCTATCACACAGATGGACAGGATCAGTGGTATCCATAGGTGAGTGTGTCAAAATCAACAAGATGGTAGACAGATCATCATTCAAAAGTGACAGGGCTTGCAATGTGACACTCCATCTGTCATCTTCCCAATTTTGGTTGCCCTGGTAGATACCAGGGCTGAGATTTTTAATTTACTTCATTTTTACAACTCTGGTTGGAGAATTTGGCAGCCAAGAGGAGTCAATGACCTTCTGTAGCCCTGGTACAAGCCCAGGTGTTCCCCCAAAGTTATTTATCCTATAAATATGATCAATATCTATCATATTCATATATGATAAATATGTATCATATTTACAATATATTTGATATCATGTTAGATATAAATATGATAAATATTTATAAATCTATCATATATACATATGATAGATATCATATGTAAATATGATAGATATTGATCATATTTCCTTCCTTTCAATGCTGACACTTGTTTATGCAGAAAACAGTTTGAAAAGTAAGTAGAATGTAAGGTAGGAAGGAAGGGATGGGTTGTGATAGTGGCACCATCCTTGCCCAATGTGCATTCAAACAATTTATGAAAAGCTTATTTCCGAGCACTTTGGCTTTCTTGGCCATCGACCAAGCTGTGAGGGTGGAAAGTATCCAACTTGGGTACCAGACTGGGAAAAGCTAAGCTGTATCTTTGAGCTGGGTGCTGCTTCCCATTCAGTTGTTGGATTAGTGCAGTTAATTTTTTTCCTTTAAAGCAAGCAACCCCTGCTGGTGATAAAAGATTAGAACCACAATACTGTATTATGGCAATATTTGGTTTATTACCTCAGCCATTTTAATAGAACACTACCTAGAACTTAAATGGAGTTGCTGGAGAGAATTTCCCATAAATATGGTATGTGAATAAGCCTGTGGGAAGCTAGGATGACAGTAAGTATGACAATTTTATTAGTAATGTATTAGCCATTTTTTCCACAGCCATCACGTTTTTACAAACATGCCAACCATAGACTGAGTATCATAATTCCTCTGCTAGGGAATTATAGTACATGGGAGCTATTATACACAGTGCGTTACTGAAATTCATATTTAATTCATTAACAACTTTCTGTTTAATATTAATGAAGCTGTCACATATTTATGCATAATCCAGTATACTCACAAGAACCCAAAGTCCTTGCCATGGCACTTAACATTGCTGAACTGCATGGGACATGGGATTTTTCTTTTACAGATAAAGCTTCCACATCCTCTTCCTTCAGAGGAACATCATCCACAGTACATAGACTGCAGGTGAATGGACTTCACCATTTACTTAACACAAGGGACTGCTTCTCTGTGATATCTTTTTTCATGCCCCACATCTCCACGTCTCACCAAAAACTCCTAATTGATTTGTATTCAATACTAGTATAGAATTAGTTGAATCCCCATATTCAATCACCATGTCCTCCTACTGCAAAAGTCAAATATACTATTTTAATGTAGCTTGTGCAAAACATGATATAAGCACTTTTGCAACTCATTTGCAATTTCATTGTACTAGATGTTGACTCCTCAGTGTTTCTCAACTTTGGCAACTTTAAAGATGTAAGGACTTTTAAAGTTGCCATGGTTGAGAAACACAGATCTAGATGTAGTACCTATAATCACTGAAGAAACAACCAGAACTATGTTGGGTGTAACAGGGTTATGGTATGCTTAAATCCACTGAAATTAGTATGGTTAGATGTACATAACTTAAAGTTTAAGCTGTGTGTGCAAAAACCCACATAGGCTATTAACTTTATTATCCAACATTCCAAAGAGGTTCCAAGACTTGGCTCCAAATCAAAACAAGTCTGGCCAATATAGTCCTTTAAAGAAAGGCCTTGAAGCTCAAAAATGCAGATTTCAATATCACCAGCAGAAATAAAGGAAGTTCAATAAGTATGATTCCCATAGGTATATCCTCTGTGTGAGTTGCCCTACAGCAAATGCAGCTTTAGCAAGAGCAAAGTACACCTCCTATCAATGACACATCCACAGGAAAAGGTCCTGAAAAAATATACATGGGCTGTGTTGGTAATTTCCTCTTTCTTCTCCCATTATAGAAAAAGAAAGCTCTGATGATAATTCTAAAACTTTGGAGGGCTCCAGGGGAAAGTTTATGATAACTGGAAGAATGACTCAAATAAGCAGAGGCACAACTGAGGAATAATCTCATAGTGCTTAATTTGCATGACTAATTAATGGTTGGCTGAGCACAATACCTGTCTCACATCCTGGATTGTAATTGCCATCGAAAGCTGCAAACCCAGCACCAGGGGCCAGAATGAATTCTCCGTTCAGTGGAAGATACTAAGCAGCAAAACAGAATAAACAAAAGGCATAAATTTTCTCTCTGGGCTGTACTGCTAAAGACCAGCTACTGTATGCTCATAATAAGTACCATTAACTATGATCCTCCCCAGTTTGGATTATTTAGAAGCACTTTCCAAACATCATCAGTAATAGTAATATTGATTCATTTATTATTTATACAATATTTCCATTTGAAATTGAATTGCAGCCAGTCTTAAGTATTCTGACAACCAATATTTTGATATCTGACTTCTTTCTCTTAGCCTAGGCTGCACAATTCAGAGTGACTTGGGGAATGTGGACAAGTGAAATGTAATATCATTTCCTTTTTGTGCCCCCTCCCTCA